TTGCAGCCTTTGGCGGTTAGATGCTAGTCAAGCTAAACGCTGCACCCAGAGCTTAACCCCGGTGCGGCTCCAGGTATCGCCCCACTCCCGATGTCTCAGCAGAGGATCCCTGTGCGCGAGAGCGGAGGGCTGTGTGTAAACAAGCAACCCCAAACCCAGGGGCAGCCCGGGCTCTGCCGCGCTCACGTCCAAATGGGAAAGGCACGAGCCGGAGCGGGAAAGCAGACTGGGAGGCAGATTCGCTTTCACTTTGGCTCCAGCCTCCTGGATATCAAATGTCAAAAGGAAACGGCGACACCAAATGAAGAGGCAAAAACCCAATATGCTGCCCCACGTAAACGCACAGGGAACTGGGAGAGCTGAAGTGGGGAACGCGGCAGAGAGCAGCGAGGCCGAGCAGCGGGGACGGAGCTCTGGCCGGCTAAGCTGCCACTGCTAATTTTGCTAATCGACATCACCGTGGAATTTGAAAGCGCTCTCCAACCAGGAGAGAAACTCGATTTCCCCCTGCTAATAACGCGGGCAGGGAAAACGCTGCGTGAGGGACGGCTCGGGAAGGGGACGTGGGAGCGGCGGGCCGAGCGTCGGAGCTCGGGCACGGCGGGAAGCGCGGCCGGGAGCGCCTGGTGCCGGACAGACCCAGCTCGGCTGGTGCTGCATCGCTGCCGAGGGCGAACGGCGCCGGCCTCCTTACGAAGTCACCGGGGCTCCTCAGCCCGCTGCTGCGCGGGAACGGGCGACTTACTAGGACTGATTATTTTTAAAAAAGGGGAGACGGGGCAGTCCTACCGCTTAGGGATATCTGCTTAAAGATATCCTGGGTAAGGCTGCTCCTATAAAAGTCAAGGAGCTGGCAGAGCAAAAATCTGGATTCAGAGGGTTTTTCCCTCCAGCAAAATGATTGCCTGGATTCTTCCCTTCCTTCCCCTGCTCTGTTCACCAGTCCTGACAAAAGCCACTAAGGGCTGGGAAGAGAKTAGCGGCCGCTGACGGGAGAGCAAGAGGGGGAAAAGGCAACAGGGAGCAAAGGGAGGGACGCAGGATTCCAAGCCCGGCTCGAGGGCCGCAAGGCACCCGGGAAGCTGCAGGGCCCCCTCTGCACAGACCCGCCAGAGGCACCAGCCCCCAGAGCTGGGGGCTACGGCCTCGTCCTCGCTGCCGCTTCCTGAGGGAGCGGGAGATGCACCGACTCGCTCGCTCAGCCCGAGCGGGACATGGACCACGGTCCTGGGCGGAAACAGGCACCTTTGGAGGCTGGAATCCCCCCAGGGTGCTTGGCTCAGCATCCCGTTGTGCTATCTTGAAAACAAAATTAAAAAAGGAAGAAAAAATACAGAAAGAAAGGACACAAATCCAAGTGCAAGGTCCACGAGCGCAGGGCCAGGAGATGAATACTTCCGCACCTTTCCTAATTGGCACCACCGTGAGCTGATCCCAGCCCAAACCAACCCCTCGCACCAACGGAAAGGGATTCGGTGTCTCCCCCGACTCCACACATCTCGGTGCCCGGATTCCTTCCCAGCCCCGCGCTTCCGTATCCAGCCCACAGCCTCCTCAGGCTGCGGATACATCCAGGGAAAAGCACGGCCCGAGGCTGGCAAGGGCCTGGCTTTATCAGATTACGGACGGCCCCATGCAAATAGGCCCATATTGATCTGGTCTACAAACACCTGGCTGGGAATAAAAGCAGCCCCCGAGTGTACGGAAGCTGCTATAGATTATTACCCAGCCCCACCGCCGCAAATCACATTAGGTCGTTGGGAAGCGCGGGGYGGCTCCGCTGCTCCCGGCCGGGAGCGGGGGGATTCGGCACCACAGGGCTGTGTGGGGCACCCCATAGCGCCCACGGCAGGGCCAGGGCTGCACGTGGCACCTCCCGCCACCAGGATGGCCAAGAGCAAGCACAGGTAGCACCAAAAATGCCACAGGAATGCAAATGCAACCCCAAAAAGTTAAGAAAAAAATACATTTTRTATAGATACAACACACACAAACATACATACATATATATTTTACTGCTCTTGATGCAAATGCCCTCCCTGCTCCCACTGAACACTAGGGGAAGAGCCGTATTTTGCACTGGTTGCAAACATGAGCATCGCCCTCGATGTCCTCCTGCATCCCAAAGGGCCCCGTCTCCCAAGRAGCAGGGTGAAAAGGAAAAGCCCTATGGTAAAACCAGTAAAATGCTTTACAGCACATTGGCAGACCGTGAAATCCTACGCAGAGCACAGCTCGCGGATCGGAGCCGGAGCTGGGAAGGCCTCCCGGATTTCTCCATTCCCGCCCTCGGAAGCTCCGATGCAGCAGGAGCGCCAAGAGTGGCGCAGTCGAGCGGAGCCGGCTGCAAACAGACCCATTTGCATTTAAAGCAGCGCCCTGCTCCCCTCCGGAACGCCGCACGCGGTCACTTCCCGGCGAGAAGGAAGCGCAAACGGCACGAAAGCATCCCGGGGTTTCTCCCGCTTTCTGCTTCCGAGCGCTGCGGTGGACGCGGGGCCGGCGCACAGGGAGCGAGCGCCTGGAGAGAGGCGGTGGCGGCCGCTTGGGAGAGCTCCCGACACCACCCAGAGCCCGGGAGCAGGGCAAACAACGGGCCCGGAGCGCGGGGACACCCCAAAATCCRCACCGGGAATGGGACGGGCGAAGGGGTCCCTCTGCTGCGGCCATCAGCGGGTCCTGCTCCCCGCGCGCTCGCGGGAGGCAGCTTGGATTGAACTAATTAAGCCGCTCCGTCCAAAGCGCTCCGAGCACGCGCTGCCAGGAGAGGGGAGGAAAATATAAAATGAAAAAAGAAGTTTAAAGATAATAAAGGGAGAGAAGGGTGAGATAATAAAGGGTGAGAAGGGGCCAGGTACCCGGGCGCGATGTAGCGGCCGGCTGCAGAGCGGCTCCCGCGCTCGCCCGCCGGGATGTTCCGCGGAAAGAGGGGGAAAAGGAGCGGTGCCCRGGGCTGTCCTGCGGGAAAACAGCTCCATGAGCAGGATATGGGGCAGCACGAGGGGTCCCGCTCCCAGCCCGCCCCGATCCGCATCCAGCCYGGCCTTTGGGTGGCGGGAGGAAGAGGAGGGGAGAAGGGAGGGAGGAAGAAAGAGCAACCCCCCCCTCCAGTGTAACTGCTATATTAAAAAAAAAGTGGCAGGCAAGAATAATAAGAGAGGTGTCAGAAGTGAAATACAGTAACAGACATTAAAAAAAAAATAAAGAGACAACTAGAGTTCTGCCATGGGGGTGTTAATTGAACGCAGAGCTGCGGAGAACAAAGGGGTGTTAAGGGAGAAAATAGAAAGGGGGGGAGAAAAMCCCCCTACCTCCTCCAAAGATCTGATTTGAGTTAAGTTTCGTGGAGATAATGCACAGGGAAAGGTAGCTGAGAGGCGCCGCATATAGCTATTATGTTCTAAAATTAAAAATAAATAAATAAAGCACAAGCCCATTATTCAACAACAATCGCACRGCTAATCACTGCTGTCTATAAATATTCCACTTAGTGAATTTTATCCCGTTGGTGGTATGTACATTTTTCTTCCAACCCCAAATTGCTTTGACACGGGAAGGCGAGGGGGCTAAAGGAAAAAAAAAAAAAAAAAATCAGAGCATGTGAATAAAAGACAAAAAAAGGACGGGGGCTTTTTAAAGAAGCAGAATTCACCCGAGAGCCCTCGAAAGTGAAACGGCACCGAGAGCCTCTTAAGGAGGAGGAATCAGATTAATGGGTCACACATCCTGCGGCAGGCGAGGAGAGGGAAGAAAAACACAAGAGAAAGGGAGGGAGAAAGAGAAAGAAGAAAAGATTAAAAATGGATAAAAAGAGCCACTATCCCCACTATCAAACTTTTTTTTCCCTCCAATATGTATCCGTATATAAATCAGCCGTCCAATTTCCGATTTCCATACCCGTCGGCGGAGGAATCAATTGTGCTCGGGCCAACAATGCGGCCGATTTCCATAATTATTATTCCAAAAAGGCAGCCAGCCATTGGAAGGCAGCGCTGCCCCTGCGCTCGCAACAAAGCGGGGCCGGCAGCRAGCGCGGGGAGCCCCACGCCGGCGCGCACGGACACCGCAGCGCCCGCTTGCTTCCCGCAGCCTGCTCCCACCTGGATCCAACCTCCCAACTTTTAGCACTTTGAGACATCGCCCCGGAAGAGACGGCCTCCGAGCCGCAGAGGAAAAGGCTCCCAATAGATTCCCGGCTCCAGAGGGTTTAAACAAAGCGCCTATAAATGCTTTAGGAACTTTATGGACACTTTGGGCTTGCTCTGGCAAGGGGACGCAACGTACCTGAAAAYGCAGGAATCCAGGGGAAAAGTGGGGAGAAGTTGCCTCAACTTGGGCCGCTGCTCCCCGGCGCAGAGCCGCCGAGAGCAGCAGCTGGGAGCGCCCGGCGGGAAAGGCAAGGCCCCATTCCCGGGAAAATAAATAAATATGGATACAAACGCATCAGGGCCACCTTCCTTCTAGGCTCAGGCTCACAAAGCACCACTTAAAAATMAAAAGAAACACGGCCGGTCCCTGGCTTGCTTATGGGGAGCGACTTTTGGGCACACAGACAGGGGAAAGGACAGGGAGGAGGCCTGGGAATTTGCAAAGCAGAAGAACTCAGCACGAACATAACAGGATAAACAGCGTCCCAAAGCCCCTCACTGAACCTCCTCAGGGATCTCTTTACGGCAGCCTTGAGCCCAGACAACCCAGGCCTGGCAAATATTAGTTATAAAAAAAAAAGAAAAAAAAAAAAAAAAAAGGCAGCCCAATTCCCCACCTCTGTGCCCTTGGCTTTCACATCTCCAGCTATTGTTATCTCCCAGTTTCACCCGGGAGATGGGAATCTGCACACATGGGGGCTCCCGGCTCCCCGAGCGGTTCACACGGCTCCTCCACCAGCCTCTCCCCCAGGCGACTCCCCATCCCGCAGCTCCGAGGCCGGCCCCATCCCGCAGCTCCGAGGCCGGCCCCATCCCGCAGCCCCACTGCCCAGGCCACGCACGCTGCGTTACCAGCGCCCCGGTAAGACGGAGCTGACGGCGGAGCATGAACATTTGCCATGGCTAAAAGAAGGAAGAGGGAGAAGGGAGGAGAACCGGACAGTCCATTTCTCCCTCTCTTTTTTGCATTGCCTTTTTTTGGCTTTTATTTTTTTGAGAAAGACTTTAAAACCACCCGTAGAATCTCCCCCCACACAGCGTCCCTTCCATGACGCCCTAGGAGCTCGCGGCGGGCTCCGGCACACAGAGCCCATCACGTTCCTGATGGGAAGCGCCTAGGGAAGGACTTGTCCGCCAGGCCGGCCCCGGCAGCGCAGCCTTCGGAGCCCAGCGCCGTCGGCAGCCGCTTCGTCTGCGCTCCCGGCTGCACAAACAGCACTTCACAAAGGCCCCTTAGTCATTTAATATATATTGCAAGAGTCAAGTAATTGCATTTTCAATCAGCTGCTCGCACTGCGTGGTTTTATATGTATTTAAGCAAGGAAAAAAAAAAAAAAAAAAAAAAAAAAAGACCCAGATTCAGGTTTCCGAAAGCTGTTCCCCTTTATGTGTAACTATCAATGTATATCAACCGGGTGCGCAATCATATTTATTGTCACTTTCATTCATGTCATGCCCTTGCTTATATGGTTTAGATATGAATTATTGACTGTTACAGTCCTTGTTGTAGGAGGGGAAGAGGGGGGGAGAGCCAAGTACTTTGCAGGCTGCTAAAAGGAGGCAGCTGGATCCGCACGGAAGATCCTGCCGGTCGCTTCCGACCGGCTCCGAAAGGCAACGGCAGAGGCCAGACCTCCTCCTGCTTCCCGATTTTCCCTCTTTCCCCCTGGTTTCTTCCCAAAGAGATTCCAACAAATAAATAAATAAGCAGTGCATGTTGCTAAATGTCCTTCCCCGAGCATCTGTTGTTTAAGATCACCCTTGATTGATGACTGCTATTTTTTAATTGTTGCTTTTAAAATTTAAAYGCCCCCCTGGGATGTGTTATAAGTGTGTTAGTACATGGTAGGAGGTCTGGAAAGTGGGAAACAGCAGAACCAACGCTCTCATGTCATTAGCTCCTTTAGAAGCCYGAGAACACCCCATGTCATAAAACAGCAGCCCCCTAAAGTCACTAACAATCTAATATATTGCTTTCACTAAAGCCAGCCAACAACTTGCACTTAGGTGAGCCAGCCCGGATGATTGGCACACGTAAGCATTTTAACCCTTTCTCAAGCAAAAATGGAAAGAAAGAGACCTTCAGATTTAGGCAACTAGCAGCAAAACCTGGCGATTTAATTTTGCTGCTTTTTTAACTCTGCATTTAGTCTTAAAAAAAAAAAGAAAAAGAAAAAACAAAAAATGCCAAGTTTTAAAGAAAGAGCTAAAGCAAGAAAGAAATGTCAGGATTTACAATAGAAATTAAACCGCGATGTTTTCCCTCGCGGACACAAACCACATTATGCAAGGCCAATACCAGAGGCATTAAAACACTGGGTAGCTCTTCCCCCCCACACCCAAATAGCCCTCCAGGCCCGGGGGGGCTGCGGGGGGGAGGCACAAACTTTTGTGGCGCGACCAAGACCTTTAGAGAGCAGAAAGAAAGAAAAATAACGCAGAACGGAGCGCTTGGCTTTCCTACCTGTTTTCTCTTTGATTTCGCACAAGACGTTGAAAAGCGCCGGCTTCATCCTATGGCAGTTCAAAGCGTGTTTCCTGGAGAGAAAAAAGGAGCGGAGGGTGAGGGGAGGATGTCACAGCAGCCGGGGAGAAGTTCCCAAACCCCGAGGCCGAAGCAGATGGGCCCGGGGGTCCCGCGGGCAGCTCCTGCCTAGCGGAGAGGGGGAGATGCATTAGGGAAAATTGGGAAGCGCTGGGATTTTGGCCACGGAGAGGCCTGCATAGGCCCGGGGTGGGAGCCGGGCTCTGCACGGAGCGGCGGGAAGCCGGGCTTGCTCTGCCTGCCTTGCTCGCACACACGGAGCGGGATCCCTCCACCTCTGCTCTGAAATGCAACCCTGTGTTTCCTTCAGCTCACCCTGCAAAATGAGGAGGAAAGGTAAAAAAAAAAAAAAAAAAAAAAAAACCAAAAAAATATTTTTCCTTTTTGCAGTGTTGGAAACATCCCTGATTAGAGCCATGAACTGGGGGAATCTCAGCGCCCAACTCGGAGCAGGGCTCGTACAGAGGGAGAAGGGCAATTCCTCACACAGGCACCCGCCTGATCCGCGGGTGGGAAAATCGAGCTCTTTGCAACGGGGACACCCAGCATGTTGGAGGGGAAAAAAAAAAAAAAGGAAAAAGGAAAATAAAACGGAGCTGGGTGCTCATGGGGACGGTCCCATTCAAGAGCTCCGCTCTCGGCAGAGGTTTCTATGGAGGAGCTGCCGTCCCTTGGCGGGTCTGGAGCCGGGAGCAGCCGGGAAGGGGAGGTTCGGATCCCGCTGCCGTGGTCCCGCCACACGCCTGCCGGGCATAGCGGCAGCACCTTCCCRTTCCCGGAGCCCCGCGAGCCTTTCCGCAGGGCTCCGCTTGTGCCGAGGGGCTGCTCCTACCAGGCGTCACTTGCGGGAACGCTGTTTACCAGCCGAAATTACACGCGAAGGCGATGTGAACATCTGGCAAACATTCACACTGCTCACCCACCACCCACAGCATGCTCAGGAGATTTATACATTCGCCAAAGCCTCTCAAAAGGTGTGTGTGTGTGTATATGTATATATATATGTATATATATATATATATATACACACACACACACATAGACATGCACGGAGACCCTCGCCGAACCGCAGCGCCTGTCAGCAGGGCGCCCTGGCATTCGGGTATCAACAAATCGCACACCTGGACCTCTTACAATCCCTGCAGGCACCTTGCACCTCTCCAAAACTTAAAATACACGCAAAAGAAAAAAAAAAAGCTCAAAAAAACAACCATGCAACAGAGGGATGGATGCAAGAAACACTAAGGCAAACACCACCGATAAACACTGCGCCTGGCAGCTTAAAATAAAAAGTATTGTAAAGGAAGCAGCTGAACTAGTCTGGCAAAGCAACATCATAAAACCTTCTAGGTCTGCCCGGGCTCKGTTTTATTGATTTGATTAACTGCGCCGAATTACCCGTGCAGGGGCACGGAAAATCCCTGGCATTTGCAGGAGAAAGAGCCCCGGCTTCCATGGGCTGAGCGGGGAGAAAGGGCAGCCCTTCCTCCTCCTCGCCCCACCGTGCGGGAGGTGAACCCCAGCACCGGCCCAAGGGGCTGGGCACCTTCTTTACCATTATTTTAATTAAAAATAATTTAAAAAAAGAAAGRTAAAGAAAATCCATGCTGTCTGTTTTTGGATTTTCTCCTCCCAACTTTTGCGAGCTCCTCGGAAGCTGCGGGTGAGCACTGAGCTCCAAGAGCCAAGGCGGGTTCGGCTTTTGCAGCCTGCTCTGCCTTTTTTAAACCGCTCCGCGTTTCTCTTCTGAAAGCTTCTGTGTATGTCCTCCAAGCACGAAAAAAAAAAAAAAAAGAAAAAAAAAAGAATAATTGRGCCCTAAAATAACAGCAGAGTGTCCCCTCCCCACGAGGAAATGAAATGCCATGGGAAAGTGCGTCCCAGCCGGCCCGCACTTGAGGCATTTCGGGGGCGGGCTGCCAAGTGCGGCGGGTTCCCGGCGCAGAGCCGGGCAGAGCCAAGGGGCGCACCAAAGTGCCCCGAAGTTGGGGGTGGAAACGAGAAGGAAAGGGGGGGGGAAAGGAGGAGGGAAAAAAAAAAGAAGGAAAAATAAAAGAAAAAGAAAAATGGGGGAAGGAAAAAAGAGAAGAGAAAAAGAGAAGAAAAAAGGGGTGGGGGGAGGCACTAAAGAGCGCGATGGAGGGAGCGCGGCGGCCGCGCTGCCCGGCGCCCCGTCCCGCGCGGCGGCTCCCGCCGCACAACAAAGAGCGCGGCTCGCACAAAAGGCGGCGGCGGCTCCGGGCGGCCCCGCCAAACTTCCCGGCGGCGGCACCTGCCCCCCGGTGCCCGCCGGAGCCCCCCGGCGCGGCGCTCACCTGGCCTGCGCCTCGTCCAAACTCTGGTCCGTGATGGTCATGATCTGCTGCAGGATGTCGCCGATGTCCTGCTTCCTGCCGGCCTCCCCCTCGGCGGCGCCGGGGCCGTCGGGCATGTGCTGGGACAGGCCCGGGTGGCCGGGCATGGCCACGCCGCCGTGCGTGTGCATGAGCCGCGGCTGCTCGTCCATCGCCGCGCGGCCGCTGCCTGCAAGCCGGGGGCGGCGCGCGGCTCCGCGCCGCTCGCCGCCTTCCCCCGCCGCTCGCCGCCTTCCCCCGCGCCTGCCTCCCCAGCCTCCTCCTCCTCCTCCTCCTGCGCCCGCTCGCTTTTGGATCTGCTTGCTTTTTTTCTCTCTCTTTTCTATTTTTTTTTTCCTCTCCTCTATTATTTATCCTTCACGCTGGCTTCCAGCTCCGCGGCGGGGAGGAAGAGGAGGAAAGGGAAGGGGGGGAAAAAA